GGCCATAACTTCCTCAATATTCATCGGAATTGGGCGTATAATATATCGTTGGAAAGCTCTTGTCAAGCCTCATCCAACTACCCCATTATTGGACCCATATCATGGACCAAACAAATTGGATTGACTGTTTTCTTAAAATAAGTTTTTTAAAACAGAGAGAATAGAAAAGAAATTAAAACTATCCGCAACACTAAACTTTCCACACTTTCGCTTCATTCGATTATGATTCGACGTGAAAGGTACTCATCACCGGGTTTGGTTTTGGGGAGACACAAATGGGTGTTTACAATACGTATAAATGTATCATGTATTTTTAAGAAAATTATGTATTGTAGATTTATAAAATAATTTCGTATTTCTCTTAAAAGGGTAAAAAAAATTGTATGGTGTATTTATACATATTTAAGAATTAATTGTGATATTTTATTTAAGGATAAGAATATATTTTCAGATTAATATAGTTGTAACAACTATCTTTTCCTAAAAAAAATGCATTATAATCTTTGTAGAAAATATTGAGCGCTAAATGTGTATCTATACATATTTAAGAATTAATTGTGATATTTTATTTAAGGACAAGAATATTATTTTAGATTAACATAATTGTAACAATTATCTTTTCCTAAAAAACGCATCACATTTCTTAAAAAAAAGAAATAAATAAATAAAATTGGCTACGATGCTTCTATATGGAAATCTTCAAAAAAAAAAAGAATTAACTGTTTTTCAAATTTTGTGATTCAATAATATAATTTATTATTGTACTCCATATGTGTTAAGAAAATTGGCTCTCCCTATCAACTCCGTATATTATTAGGCTATCATTTTTTTTAACTAGTAATAGGATATCATTTACTAAATATATATATTTTGACACTTTTATATGATTAAGAATCATCTTTATAATCTATCCAAAAAAAAAACCTTCTACTCCATTATATGGAGTAATTAATTGCATACAAGGATACACCCCTCTGTTGTATCTTATATTCCATACAAATTTTCTGCCTACGTGATCCAAGTGTTCAATTGAAAGAGTACGTTATTATGGCTGATAGGCATAACGTTTATGTATACTTCTTTTTTTTTTTTATGAAACACGTTTATGTATACTTCTAATTGTGATATTTTTTTTTTAATAATCTAATTGTGATATTTTATTTTAGGATAAGAATATATTTTCAGTTTTACATATTTGTAACAATTATCTTTTCCTAAAAAAAATAATTATATTTTCATTAAAAAAACGCATCATATTTCCTCCAAAAAAAAAGGAAAAATTGCTCCCATTAATCTGATCTTTGCCTCATCCGCCGAAAATAATTCCAACTTTCGTTTATTATCTATTGCACCCAACTTTAGGGGGTATAATTTTCGTTGCACCCAAATGACCTGCAACCGGTAAATCAGGTAAACATTTCTAATTTTTTTTTGGCACACGTGTCAACATGTAATTGGTTGAAAAAAATAGAAAAAAAAAATTATAAACATAATTGTAAAAAAAAAAAAAAATTAAAAACATAATTAAAAAAAAAGTTTAAAACAAAAAAAAAAATTTAAAAAAAACGACCACCACCAGCAACCCCCCCAACCACCGCCAAACCCTAACCGTTCCGTAGCCCCACCAAACTCCGGCCGGCCGCCGCCATAAACCCATGAAAACGGCCGGCCGGAACCCCTAACTATTGAAAACCACCCCGCCAACAAAACCTACCCTGAAAATCGCACAATCCCACCCCAGAAACCACCATAACCACCACCCTGAAAATCGCAACTAGCCGCCATAAACCCGTCGAAACCCCACACAGCCGCCGAAAATCCCACCCAGCTACCGATAAACCGCCGATAATCACCAACAACGTCATCCCAACATCCCTAACCAGCAGGGGATGGGGTTTTCGTGGGTGGGGGAGGGGATTTCGGGGGTGGGGGAAGGAAAGGGGTGGGTTTCGAGGGAGGGGGAGGGGTTTCCGGGGATGGGTGGTGGTTTCCGGCACCTGGGGAGGGGTTTTTCGGGGGTGGGGGTGATTTCCCGGCGGGGTGGGGGTGTGGTGGCCGGCTGCTGGGTATGGGTGGGTTGTGGGGTTTTTATTTTTTTTGTTTTTATTTTTTTAAAAATTTAAGCCAATCATACGTTGACACGTGGCTAGGTGACCTGCTACATCAGGTTAGATGACCTGTTGGGTGCAACGAAAATTAATACCCCCTAAAGTTGGGTGCAATAGATAATAAACGAAAGTTGAGATTATTTTCGGCGGACGAGGCAAAGTTTTGATTAATGGGAGCAATTTTTCCAAAAAAAAAAAAAAAGAAAAAAATGCATCATAATCAGCAGTAGATTATATTGAGAATTCGAACATAATCTATGTGAAACTAGAGCACAAATTAATTTAATTGGAGGACTACTCCATATTTACTAAAAACTAATCAATTTTCTAGTTACATTTATATCAAACTTCGCAGGAAAAGTATAGGTAGGGAATATTTCTATTATTTCAACCTACCTAACCATCTAATCACATAAGATAAATAATTAGGTAGATTATAGAGTTAAAAGTATAGGTAGGGAATATTTGTTTCCTAATAAAACGCACCTAATAAAGGAAATAATAAAAAATAAAAAATTAAAACAATATTATTCATCTTCAACCAATACTCATCTTCAACCTTTATTCAACCTTAACATTTAACAATGGAAATTGCTATTAAAAAAAAAAATAATAATAAACCAATTGCGGATGAATCTTGAAATTATATCTTCCAATGAAAAAAAGTAATCATTTTCCAATCAAGAACAGAGAAAAATGTATGATCAATTTCATTTAATTTGTTCACTTATATCAAACTCCATAGTAGCTTTTTATTGCCCATGTTTTGGAGATTTTCATTTTTATAATTTTTTTGTTCCTTTTTTATTCTTGGAGAACTGCAAGTTTCGATCAATAATGGCTGCCATTGTTTAATGTTTTTTGCATGTCATGAATGTCATCGTTTTTCTAATATCTTTCACTATTGATTATATGATATCAATTTAATTATGAAATTAAATAAAATATAAGAATTTAATAATTTGAAAAAAAAAACTTTTGAAAAAATAAATTTAATCAAACTAGAGTTAATGACTTGATGATTAAACTTGATAACTGTGTAATGACTTGATGACTGTGTAATGACTTGATGACTAGACTTGATGACTGTGTTAATGACATGATGACTAGACTTGATGACTGTTTTGTTGAGTTATCGAATTGGACGGCTAGGATTAGTCTATTAAAAAATAAACGGATGAGATTTAATCTCTTATCGTAGTTGTCCATAGTCGTCCGAAGTCGATCGTAGTCGACGACTACGGTAGAAGCTTCGCCCATTTACAGATGATCGGCAAACCTGCTGAATTAGCTTCGCTGGCAGTTCTCGGTGTGCCTGTAGATACATCAAAATCAATAAAATAAACTATACCAAAACATATTCAGATATGAAATGTTAGCATCCTAAGAAAAACCTGAAAATGCCTCATGTGAAGAATTGGTTCGCATCCAACATCAGCTATTGATCTTCCATTCATGACTACAAAAGTTAAGGTCCTAGAACGGACACGGTTACGTACACTTGGCTAGTAAGAGTTGGCTTTCTTAGCTTACCTATTGATTTATGTCTTAAATGTGCAATTGATTGACCTCCTAATAACTTAACTTGACTCTAACGATAACTTAAAGTTTCATCTTTAATCATTTCCTCCATTAAGAATGAGGATGGGCTAGATTAAGTTAGGGCATGTTCTGATTTATTGAACTAAATTAAGCTGAAATGAATTGTTTATAAGAGAAGAAAATTAAAAACTGAACTGACCTGAAATTAAGCTGAAGAGAACAGGTCCTTAGTCTTTGATGAATTATATACTTTCACAGCAGGTGGAAATCAACGGTCGTAAACTCGTAATAATGTCACTATTTATGCGTACTTTTGTAAGAGAATAAACTTTGATATAAATGATCCCCAAAAAATTTAACAACTTGGTTGACCTCAAACACCAAAGTAGAACGTACTACCAAAACATGAGGTACCTAATGTTTTAGAAGATATGTTTGAGTTAGAATTTTAGAGGAATTTGAGACTCAAGGTTAGACAATCACTTTGTAATAATAGTTTTCCAAGTTCTTTTGGAGGTGAAAGTTTAGTACTTCTTAGTATGTTGTTTGTGCATGTCTTGGAAGGTGAGTTGGGTTTTATTGTCTTTATCCAATGGTAAATGAATCCACTGTTTTGAAAAAAAATCATCTTCGTCCAAAGGAAGCTTAACAAATGAATTTTTTGAGAGATCCATAGTAGTTTGACCAATAAAGTCTTCTCGAGAGGAAAGACATAAATTACTCACAGTCTAATTGTGACTCTATTCGTACAGTTACTCAGTTAGATAATGAAATTTACATGTTATTATACCTTTCATCTTTAGTCCAACCCCATATATAGTTGAGAACGTTTTCACTTAAAAGTCCATCTAGCACATTTATAGTAGGAAAATTTGTCAAGAATAAGCCAACCTTTGCCCGGTTCGCTTAAAATAAGTCAACCTTTCGATTAACTCAGAATAATCTAACCTTTATAGGGTGTCCACTTTAAATGAGTCAAAACTTGTTGTAAGCGGCTATTAAGGTCAATTGTGACACGTGTCAGAATGTGATTCATCATTTTTCTAATAATAGTTAATTAGGAATTATCATATGATTAATTATAAAAAAATCTAATGATTATAAATTTCAAAAAAAAAAGGAAAAAAACCCCAACCCCCCTCCCCTGCCAGACGGCTGCCCACGATGCCTCCCACTTCTTCCCGTTCCCCTTTCCCACCCCGACCCCCCTGCCGGAGTCGATCCCTCCCTCCCCTTCCCCACTGTCAATCGACACCCCAAAACACTTAAACCCTGATTCTGATTTTGTTAGGATTTCGTTAGGGTGGGTTTAAAGGTTTGGGGGGTGGACTGACGGTGGGGAAGGGGAGGGAGGGGTCGACTTCGGCAGGGAGACGGGGGAGGGGGGTCGTTTCCGGCAGAGGGTGAAGGGGAGTGGTGCCGTGTCGGGGTGGGGAAAGGAATGGGGAAAGGAATGTGGAAAGGGGAAGGGGTTGGGTGGGAGCGTCGTGGGTGGGGGGAGAGGTCGTCGGTGTCGGCGCCGGGGAATTTTGTGGTCACCGGCCACTGGCGGCCTGGCAGGGGAGGGGGGTGAGCTGGCAGGGGAGGGTGAGGGGGGGTTGGGTTGGGTTTATTATTTTATTTTTATAATTAATAGATTTTTTTTTGGAAATTTTGTCTAGAAGGGACTTATATATTCACTATTTTGTCTGGAAGGACCTTATATGTTCAAAGTGGTCTAAAAGGACCTTATAAGTTTGTTTTGTTGTCTAGCGGGACCTTGACGTCGGATTCAGGCGTTTGACTTTTTTACTCCGGCGTTGACTAGTCACATGACTCTCACATGACTTAAAAAATTACCCTCCCTCTTATTTTTTTTCCCTTTTTTTCCTCCATTTCCCTTTATTTGCCCAGATTTTTCCCCAAATTGCTTCTCTCTCCTCACGAACTGGGGTTCATCATATCAATTTAATCCATTATGTTCCTTAAGTTTCTGAAGAAATTCAAGCAGGCATCTTTCAATTGATTCCTTTACGCATCAGGTAAGAACATTGCTTACGGGTTTTTTTCCCCCAATCCTAATTTTTTAAGATTAAATTAAGTTGTTTACAAAATTAGTGTTTATAATTCAATTGGTTCTGAAATCATATTGTTTTGGCTGTTGAAACATGATTTCGACTAAACAGAAGTTATCAAAGTGCAATTGTGGCCTTCCTCGTGCGCAAAGGACTTCATGGACTCTGTAATTGTATTGCAGTAGGGAGTGAACGAAAATATGATGTAATAATCCCAATATTTGAATGAATCAATGAAGATTAATTTGCTTTGAATTTGTTGTGTTTTTTATTTTGAAACATTATTATAGCAATAGACAAATTCACAGTATACAAATTCATGAAATTTGAAACATATATAGTAGTAGATCGAAAAATTCATGATTATATTAAATCCAAAACAAAGTTGACTACATTGTATCAAACCTGGGCCAAGTAAGTCCTCTCTTCTCTGATTCAAATTCAAATAGGTACATGAGAGCAATGAATTCTGGACTAAATCTTCACTCTTTCAAATTCAATTAGGTAGATGAGAGCAATTTGGGGAAAAAATCTGGGTAAATAAAGGGAAATGGAGGGAAAAGGGAAAAAAAATAAGAGGGAGGGTAATTTTGTAAGTTACGTGAGGGTCATGTGACTAGTCAACGTCGGAGTAAAAAAGTCAACCGTCAGAATCCGGCGTCAAGGTCCCTCTAGACAACAAAACAAACTTATAAGGTCCTTTTAGACCACTTTGAACATATAAGGTCCTTCCAAACAAAGTAGTGAATATATAAGTCCCTTCAAGACAAATTTTCCATTTTTTTAAATAATTAACCATATAATAATTCCTAATTAATTATTATTAGAAAAATGACGAACCACATTCTGACACGTGTCACAATTAACATTAATAACCAGGCCAGTTAATAACCGGTTGCAGGTCACTTGACTCATTTAAAGTGGATACCCTATAAAGGTTGGATTATTTTGGGTTAATTGAAAGGTTGACTTATTTTGAGCGAACCGGACAAAGGTTGGCTTATTCTTGACAAATTTTCCTTTATAGTATTATCTCCGTCCTCATAATAATTGCATAGCAATCTTAAATTCCTACGAAAATTTTACTATGGTCCACTTTATTTGGACCATCACTATACTGAATTATCATTGGCCGATTTTTTATTTATTTTTTTTACCTTGGTCAAACCTTATTTTTAGTTATTTTCTTTTTTAATTCTTTTTTTATTTTCCAAAATTTATTTACTGAATTTATGAAAATCATTTTAATTACATTTTCAAAATTTAATTATTAAAATCAGATTTTAATAAAATAAAAAAAATGATTAAATAAAAAAAATCAAATAAAAAAATTGTTCATGAATGTTCTTCAAGTTTTTTCATTCATGGATGAGATTAAACACAAACACATGATATGTCCATTAAATTCACTCGCGCATCGAAAGCGAATAACAATATGGACCGATTTAAAAAGCAAATGGAAATTTTAAGATATCAAAAAGTTGTAGTCGTTGCGAATTTGGGCAGCGATTTAAATCTCTAAATAATAGGTTTAGATTGTACTAAATCAGTCAACGTTTGCAAAAACGGTGATTTTATGTAATCGAAATAAAATTTTTTAAGTTTTACGATAATCGGGGTTTGTCATGAACATCTGAAAAAGAAATCGCATCATTATTTTTTCGAAACCTTGTTTGATCCTAAAAAAGGGAAATTGAAATTGATATCTTGTTTGTGTAAAATGCTTTACCCATATAAAGGATATGACATTACCTGTTATGAAAATTGTAATTATTAAAAACATATGACATCAAGTTCTTTTGGACATTACCATTACTGATTTATAATTCATTAATATCTTGTTATTTTATCTTAATTCGGTAATCTACGTTCTTCAAGATAATCTAATTAGAAAACGTATGATTTTTCTTTGAAACACTGTTTGATCCAAAAAAAAGGAGACCGAATTACTAATCGTATTTGTGTTTAAGGAATTTACCCACATACAAATTGGACATTACCTATTATATACATTTTAAATATTAAACGACTATGATCATAAGTTATGTTAGAAATAACCAATTATTTTAAAGTACTTTACGACCTTTGCAAAATATTTGTAGCTAAACATGTACAAAAATTAAAATGAATATATATATATATATATATATATATATATATATATATATATATATATATATATATAATGGAATCAATATCTTTTAGGATATCTTTTACCATTAGAAATATTATTTAAAAAAATTTCAATCACCAATTGTAATAAGGATATTTTCCTAATTTCTTATCTTATATATTATTGTATAGAAGATTTTAAAATCAGTATAATTTTCAAATTTCAAAAGATTATATTCTAATATAATCTAAAAATTAGAATATATATCTTACGATTTTGTCAACATATCTTATGATTTTGTAAAATTATTTATTTTTATGAGGATAAAATTTAGTAAATGAATATTAATAAATCTTAGGATAATAGATGATTCACTTTCCCTGGATAAAAATTTACGTACTTTCCCTAAAAAAAAGATAAAATTAGGACAATACCATAATTTAATTAAGGTTTATGATTTTAAATCTATTTTTTTAAGGAAACACTTTAAATCTTTCTTTTCTAAAATAAGATCATATTTTCAGATTTTTTTGACATGCTTATCGTAAAATAAAATCAAAATGTTGGTTTCCCTCAGCTCCACGTCAAAAAAATCATAAAGTTGGAATTTTCACAATATCAAAAATACATATGGTCATTCGTCAAACTCAATAAACTTTCTTTTTTAGGTAATAACCAAAGTACACATAAATTAAAACCTGAACTATAAACAGATCACAAAACTCACACTTGTGTTCTACGTATCAAATAAGGTTTATGAGAAGAATATTTTTTTTTTTTAAAAAATGCGTCTTCTTCCTCTAATCGATTTGCTCATTATATATATCTTTGTATCCTAAAATTGCGTCTTCTTTCTTTGACCAATTTGCTCATTATATAGGTTTGGACATTAATTTTTGTTTTTTGGTTTGTGTAATAATTTGAAATTTAAACCATCTTTCTATAAGGTAAAAAAAAAATCATATATTTAAAGCAACCAATCAAAATTGAAATTTAGATTAACAATGGAATGTGTTAGATTTAAGATCTATTTGAAGATTATTGCCTAATGTCTATATGATGGCTGTTGATTGCTTATTTTTAGGAAATATTGTCACTAAATGAAACATAAGTTATCCCATATAAATTGTCGTCCAAATCTTTTTCAAATATTCTATTATAATATTTAACGTACTATTTAGGAAATAAATCAATGATATACAATAGTGTTGTTATCAATTAATTTTTATGACACATAAAATATAGACTATAAATTTAAAATGAAACTAAACTAATAAAAAAAAATACTCGTAGAGTCGTAGTACTAAACATTGGGTAAAAAACAAAACACAAAAAATCACATTTAACATGTAACACTATTTTGACAAATAGGAAAAAGAATATTTTCGATTATCATTAATAAAACTAGAATGCATGTATATACAAAACAGAAGCATGATATGTCCTAATTATAAGGAATACAACCAGCAATAATAGTATGTATTTAGCCTAAATATAAGGGGTTGAATATTGGCTTTCCTAATTTATAAATACAAAAATATATTTACTGTATTTAACAATTTGTCATTGGATTCTTTCCAAAAAAAAAAAAAAAAAAGGTTTGCCATGTAATTGCTCACCTCCACGTTTTTTTTTTTCATTTGGTTATTATATGGGATTCGTCCAATATTAGGATATGACATTACTTATATATTTAGAATTGGTCTCAATCTCCATAATTATTGTAAAATTATAATAATAATTGAAGACGGTTCACTATTTAAATTAATAACAAACTAGTATCCAAGTAATCCAACCATTGGGTCACACGATAGATAAGAAGATAATCATCTAAACCGCAAAAGTGCGGTTTGGTATTTTTTCAAACCGCACCACAAGATGTGGTTTGGTGCGATGCGGTTTGCAGTTTAACCGTATTTTATAAAAGTTGCATTTATTCTTCTTAAAACAAAACTTTTATTTTATATTATAATTATTTTTTGATAATTTAAATATTAAACTCTTTTTATTAACCTTTAATTAACTAATAGTAAAAAATTAGCTCATATATTTTATTTCTTTTATATAATTTTAATGAAAATATAGTATAAAAATCGCAAACCGCATTAAAGTGCGGTTTGGTCTCAAAAATTTTGGAAACTGCATCAAACCGCAAATCGCGATTTGATCATTTTAAAAAATCACACCGCAATTTTCAAACCGCAAACCGCAAAATTGCGGTTTGGTTTGCGGTTTGGTGCGGTCTAAACCACACTCTGTACGACCCTAAAGGTCGTAGATCGGACACGGTTACCTACACTTGGCTAGTAAGAGTTGGATTTCTTAGCTTACCTATTGATTTATGTCTTAAATGTGCAAATGATTGACCTCCTAATTAATAACTTGACTCTAACAGTAAAGGTTCATCTTTAATCATTTCCTCCATTAAGAATGAGGATGGGCTAGATTAAGTTAGGGCAAGTTTTGAATGGGCTAGATTAAGTTAGGGCATGTTTTGATTTACTGGACTGAATTGAGCTGAACTGAATTATACTTTCACAGCTTGTTTAGTAGAAGGAAATCAACGATGGTAACGTGCTATTAATGCATACTTTTGTAAGATAATAAACTTTGATATAAATTATCCCCAAAATTGTAACAACTTGGTTGACCTTAAACACCAAAGTAGAACGTACTACCAAAACATGAGGTACCTAATGTTTTAGAAGATATGTTTGAGTTAGAATTTCAAAGGAATTTGAGACTCGTCAAGGTTAAATTAGACAATCACTTTGTAATAATAGTTTTCCAAGTTCTTTTGAAGGTGAAGGTTTAATTGTCTTTATCCTATGGCAACTGAATCCATTGTTTTGAAAAAATTCATCTTTAACCGAAGGAAGCTCAATAAATAAATTTTTTGAGGGATTCGTAGTAGTTCAACCAAAGTCTTCTCTCGAGGAAAGACAAAAAAATACTCACGGTCCAATTGTGACTATTCGTACAGTTACTCAGTTAGATAATAAAATTTACATGTTACTATACCTTTTATCTTTAGTCCAACCCCATAGTTGAGAACGTTTTCACTTAAAGTCCATCTAGCACATTTATAGTATTATCTCCGTCCTCCTAACAATTGCATTGCAATCTTAATTTCCTAAAGAAA